GACCGAGATTCGATCCCGGGACCTCTCACATTTGAAGCGAGAGACATAACCACTAGACCACGGAGTCGCTTTTTACTCGGAGTGAAGTATATGCAGAACTGAAGTCACATACATGTATATATTCATGTTTTCATGTTCGGTATTCTCAAAATTTTACACAATCCATGGTGTTTGATTTATTTAGCCTTTATTAAACAGTTATAATAGATGTAATAAGAACATAAAGTCCGCCGAGAACCTGTTTTATACGCAATAACTCTCCTCATGCCCCTGCGCTAAAAATAGCGACATGTAATACTATAAATACTAATAAAACAAACGGGGCGGGGCACTTTGAGAGGGGCGAGAGACGTCCTAGGGAGATTTGGTATAAAATTACATTGCATAAGCTCAAAATCTTCTTGAAATATCGCCCGGAAATGATAGTGTTACACACAGACAGAATGTATAAATTTACGACCTTGAACTTTGACCTTTTGACCTCAAAATCAATAAGGGTCTTCTTTAGGCCACAGGGAGTTGTTATGTAAAATTTCATTGCGATAGCTCAAATGGTTCTAGAGATATCGTGTGGAAACGAAAGTGTTTTAACAGACAGAATTTGCTTATTTATGACCTTGACCTTTGACCTTTTGACCTCAAAATCAATAGGGGTCTTCTTTAGTCCATAGGGAGTTGCTATGCTAAATTTCATTGCAAAAGCTCAAAGGGTTCTCGAGATATCGTGTGGAAACGAAAGCGTTACAGACAGACAGAAAGACGGACGGACGGACGGACAGACGGACGGACGGACGGACGGACAAACCCAAATTAATATCCCCCACTTTTCAAGCGGGGGACAATAAGGGTTGGGACCCTAAAACAAGGGGAGATAATCAGGAAAACAAAACCAAAAGTACTAGTTGCTAAAAAATCTTCTTCTCCAGAACCACCCGGCAGATTTTCACCAAACTTACATACAAGGATCAGGATATGTTGAAGATTAAATATTGTTCAAGGCATGACCCTGGGGCAAAGGGCGTGGTCTCAAGGTCACTTTAAAGTTGACCTAAATTTACAATTAATAAAAATGTTTATATTTTGCTTACTATAAGGACTAGGATCATCAAATCTTGTAAGTTGATGCATCTTAGGACTTCACATCATGTTAACTCAAAAGTAGGTCACGGTGACCTACTTTTTTAATTTTGCGGGCATTTGTTGTCAAATTGTTTTGAAGGCATATTTTGGACACTTTAAGGCCTATGATCATCCAACTTAGTCAGTTGATGCATCTTGGGTCCTTAAACAACGTCAACTTAAAAGTAGGTCACCGTGACCTACTTTTTGAACTTTATGACTTATCCTTTTTAAAACATTTAATCCCATTATTTCAGGCACTGAAAGGGTTAGAATCATCAAATCTTGTAAGCTGCTGCATCTTGGGACCTTAAAACATATTTAAGAAAAAGTAGGTCACTGTGACCTACTTTTAGAATTTTGCAGGCATATGTTTTCAAATTGTTTAAAAGGCATATTTTGATTACCTTCAGACCTAAAATCATCAAACTTGGTGAGGAGAGGCATCTTGGGACTCTGAAAAATGTCGACTAAAATGTAGGTCACGGTGACCTACTTTTGACATTTTATGGCTATATTTTAGTATCTTGGGTATTTATTGGCTTAGAATCATCAAACTTTGTGAGTTGATGCATCTTGGGTTTTCGGAGAGTGACGACCAAAAATTAGGTCACGGTGACCTACTTTCGACATTTTATGGCTATATTTAATTATCTTAGGTACTTATTGGCTTAGAATCATCAAACTTTGTCAGTAGATGCATCTTGGGACTTTGGAAAACGTTGACCAAAATGTAGGTCACTATGACCTACTTTCGACATTTTGTGGCTATATTTATTTATCTTAGGTACTTATTGGCTTAGAATCATTAAATTTTGTGAATTGATGCATCTTGGGTTTTCCGAGAATGACAATTAAAAAGTAGGTCATGGTGACCTACTTTTAACATTTCATGGCTATATTTATGTATCTTGGGTATTTATTGGCTTAGAATCATCAAACTTTGTGAGTTGATGCATCTTGGGTTTTCGGAGAGTGACGACCAAGAATTAGGTCACTGTGACCTACTTTTGACATTTTATGGCTATATTTAAGTATCTCCAGTACTTATCGGTTTAGAATCATCATACTTTGTCAGTTGATGCATCTTGGGTTTTCAAAGAATGTTGACCAAAAAGTAGGTCACAATGACCTACTTTTGAATATCTCAGGTATTTATTTGCTTAGAATTATCAAACTTAGTCAGCAGATGCATCTTGGGACTCTGAAAAATGTCGACAAAAATGTAGGTCACAGTGACCTACTTTCGACATTTTATGGCTATATTTAAGTATCTCCGGTACTTATTGGCTTAGAATCATCAAACTTTGTCAGTTGATGCATCTTGGGTTTTCGGAGAATGTCGACCAAAAAGTAGGTCACGGTTACCTACTTTCGACATTTTATGGCTATATTTAAGTATCTTAGGTATTTATTGGCTTAGAATAATCAAACTTTGTCAGTTGATGCATTTTGGGTTTTCCAAGAATGTAGACCAAGAAGTAGTCCTAATTGGCTAAGAATCATCAAACTTTGTCAGGTGATGCAACTTTGGTCTTAGGATAATTAGGGTTAGAGGCTTCAAATACAAGTGATAGGTTGTACAATTTATCAGAAGAGCGATTCAAGGCCCTTGGGCCTCTTGTTTGATAAGTATCAGAAAATGATTTCTTGATATCAGAAATTCGAATTCTTGATATCAAAAAGTGATTTTCTGATATCAGCAATTCGAATTCTTGAAAAAAAAATCTTGTTTATTTTCGGATATCAAAAAATATATTTTCTGATATTTCAAAATGATTTTTTGATATCAAAAAGTGGAATTTCTGATATCACAAAATGATTTGTTATATCAGAAAATACCTTAAAAATATTAAAACGGCGCCCCGTATTCACAAGTATCGTCATTCCGCGCTTAGTGTTGTGTACAGAGTTTAGCAAATTGAAAACACCAGTGAAACATACACAGTTTTTGTAAACAGGGCACGAGCTCTGTTATTGTTGATGTTTACGATTCACCGGGTGTGTTCAATTGTTACAGTCTGCGTGTATGTTTTGCTTTCAAACATTTCCACTCTGAATTTTCTGGATTATAGTTTTAATATTTTTCATTAATACACAACAAGATTGCCACTTTCCCTAAGAATTAAGAATAAAATTAAGATTTGTGAAAGTGCAAGGATGTGTCAATCAAACCCGCCGAAAAATTTAAAGTTTCAATAACTTTTAGATGAAATAAGATTTTTTAATATATTTTCGTGTGAAATATAAGTCGTGATATTATACAGAAAATACTAACTTCAAATCTTTGTCTATGCACCTTTAATAATATTTATAGCGAGCGCTCGTAAAGCGAGCTCAATAGACTAACGTGTAAGAACAAAGGAAATTCGGATTGAAATCTGTACAAAAATACATCAGGCAAATTTTTGTGTGAAACCTTCCCAGAATTCCTTTGCTACATGTACCCAATACCCTTTAATTATTATTTATTTATTCCCGCAAAGGGTATTGGGTACATGTTGCAAAGGAATTCTGGGATAAAATGCTTTCAGTTTGTAGAAATCTTTAAAAGAGACAAAAAATAACTCTGCAATGTCTTTCGACACAAATTGCACTAGGTCTATAGTTTAGTTTCAACTAGACGCTCGGCTGTTTCCGTAAATCCTGATGAGCTCTCATGTGACGTCACAGTCTAGATGTCTCGTGCGACTTGACGTTTGAAGTGGTGGATCAACGTTTCAGGTGTAGTTTTGAAGGTACAACTGCACTCGCCCCAACGGTCACACCGTAAAACATATTAACAAATTACTAAGAGATGATGATGCGGCCCTATTACGCTTCCGTATATTCGTGACAGGTTTTCGTAATTTTTCATTGGAAATGACAGTTTAAAGTGATTATCATCTTACTTAACAACATATTACACCTTATTTGACCAAGATAAAGTTATAAAGCATCATTTTAGGAATTCATTAGTACTTTTTTGCCCTGCTTAGAGATCACATTCTGAATCAATGAGGGAGCGGCGATTCCCAGACTTACAGATATACCCTCCCCGCACACACATATACACCAAGCCAGTGCAAGACGGGGAATTTTATGAACGGAATGCGTCTTTTATACGTCGATATAATTTTTTTTGAGGTAGGCATAAATGGTATAATTAAACAAAAATGTTCATAGCTATAGTTTTACGGAATATAATATTTCAATTAAACATGTTCTATTAGATTTTTTTCAACCATAACTTTTCATTCTAAACACTCGAACAATCAGTATTTAATTCCTGAGACCTGAAATCATTTTATTTTCTATTTGTCATTTTTGAAAAAGATCATTTGTGTACACAAAATACTTTAATAGAGAAAAATGTCAATATATTTCACATCTCTCGATACAATGACCTTGAACAGTGTTAAAATTTGTAAATGCAGCAAAAAAAAAAAAAAAATACTGAACATAGAGCGAAAAATATATTGGTGCATGTGTCATTTCAAAGTTTTTCGCGCAGTAAGTGGAAGAATGATAGACGTAATATTGAAATGTTTCTTCCGACAATTATCTACGGTGATCAAATAGGGTGCCATGAAAATGTGTCCAAAAATGAGAACATTTCTCTAAGGCATGGATTAGCAATGAACTTCTCTTGCATGCGACTGAAATAAAAATGAAAAGACATCAAGAATTAAAAAGAAAGTATAAGTATGAATATGAGCCTAAACATGAAGAAAACAAACACAACGTGAGAGACAGTTGTGACATACAATAATGAATCACCCTAATTCTTACAGGTACTAACCTACCTGTATGAGGTATCAGAATATGAAGTTACCTGTAAGATCTTCCAGATAGCAGTAGTTTATTTATTAACTGTAATAGGCACCAGGTTATGAAGCTACCTATGTAGTAGTACATAATATGAATGCTTGTCCAGAGGGGAAGGCGATGTTGTTCAGACTCTGATTAAGGGCATCTACGACATCCATGAAGGTCCTGCTGAAGGACGGCTGTGAAATGCCATGGATATCTGCTGCCTCGGACTGAAAGTCGCCTTTTGGCAGGACTCTCAGAGTTGACAATACCTGTTAATATTTATACATATAACTTAATTGTATTTTCGTGTTAGAAATTTATTGTTTTCTTTACCATATATTAATTAAATGTCTTATAAATATACATGTATAATTATTTTTTTTTGTTCACCTGAGCTGAAAGTACGTACAAGAAAGCTTTTCAGATCATATTCTGTCTGTAGTCATCTGTTTGTCTTTATTCAAGGGGAGACGATTAAGAAATAATGGCAATTTGGTGGCACATCTCAATAACCACTGGGCCAAAAAGTTTAAACTTAGACACAGTGTAAATTTAAATGTGTTCAAATGATGACCCCTGGGGTTAGGCTAGAACCATAATGATGGATCAAAGTTTTACAAAGGAAAAAAAAGCTGCAGCTCTCCAAAAAATAATATTGACAGACTGGAGAGCTAAAACTGTATATTTATTGCGAACGAAAGTTGCTCTTAGTTTTGGATTAATTCTTCCTATTCCTTACCCAAATCTCTGATCTGTCAAATTTTTTTTTCGGAGAGCTACAGATCTCCAGTCAAGGAAAAGATGGGGGGAAAATCTTTAAAAAAAAGACTTGCACATTCCACCCTACAGATATACATGTAGTTATATCATGTACATGCATATAGCCTATTCTGATTGATTACCAACCATATTTTAGGATAGGTGGTTGATATATACCAGGTAGACATTTATTGGAAAATTATTCGAATTCCCCGACTCTGCCAAAAAAAAAATTTAAACAAGGTTTTGAACTTGTTAAAAAATATTTAGAAATTTCTGACATAACATTGTTAAAATGAAACTTTATAAAAATAAAATTTAAGGCTTGTACTTTTTGAAAACAATATCTATAAATTGGCTTTTCCTTATGTTATTTCATATTACAGATATGTTTTCAAAAAGTACATTTAATTTTTATTTTATAAAAGTGTATTTTTTTTGGATCGTCCTGATCCAAACATAAATATGTTAAAATAAGGGTATTCAGTGAGCATTACATTTGGTAAGTTTTGGAGGCTTTTCTAAATATCAGTTACAGATGACACATATTATTATTTACATTTCACAGTCTTTGATATATAAAATATGAGTTTTTTTTTTCAGGTAATAGGCCAGTGCTGAATTTATGTATAGGCATTATAGTATGTGCCTGTCAGACGAGTGATATGTTCATTAGATCCGCCCATAATTTTCCCATAATCTACCCAGAGTTGTCTCCCGCTTCAGTTAAACTGGCGAGAACGACAACTCAATTAAGATTAGATCGGGTTCAATATTTACATAACATCGTTCTTACCATGGAAGGTACAGGCAAAGGATTCGACCTGTTCGTGGGTCTCTCCAACCGGTTTTGAACCATGTTAACAAACTCGACGATAGTAGCTCGTGGAAAACGATACCTTTGTATCAGTTCGATGTCGCTGTAATACTCTAAGGGATTTGTTCTGTCCCTGAACACTCGCTGTCGTCGTAAACTACGATCTCTAGCTATTGAAAGTAAGAGTGCTGCCATTTTTTCGAAGATACGTGTAGGTGCACAGTAGACGTAGATTTACGTTTAATTATGACGTAATTTAACGTCTACGATTTTTTGTAAATACGGTTTTAGACGTAAATCCACGCGACGTCTGAATTTACGTCTACGTCTACGTCTAAGAACTTTCGTAAATATGTACATAGACACGGATTTTACTAAAAAATAGATTTAACATGTTGTAAACATTCCAAATTCATGAATGCGTAAAAAGGGAAATAACTCTTACAAATTACAGAATTACCAAAATCGTGTTTAAGAGGTAGAGCCACTTTGGGCCTTATTTGGCCCTGAGAATTTCTGAAAATTCAAAACCGCTCAGTTTAGGTTGCAAATGCAGTATTTATCACTTGGACTGTTGGTGACCACGTATCTATTTATTCTAATTTTATTGTGACGTAATTTCACATCTAGTCAATGCATTATGACGTCATAAAATGCGTCATTTTCCTCATATTCTGTAAATTCCTTTGAAAATGACCTAAAGTTGAAGCGTTTTTTTCAATATTTCATATAGAGCACAACCTCTGATCCAAAATATGCCAATACATAATGAAAGGCCTATTTCTGAAGATCAAAAAACATGTTTATTTTTTGGATCGTGGGCTGTGCTGATATTTGAATTCTTTGCGAAAGGTAGTCAAAAACGCATATTTTCTGCAAATTTCAAGAACATTGCAATTTCTCAAAGCCTGTTTTCAAATATTTGGATTCTCAAAACGAAATTCATTATAGAACATGAAAGCACCAAGTGTCTACTTTATTTTGATATATGAAAATGGAAAGAGGGTGACAATTAATTAATTAATATAAGTACAGGGCCATTTTATGCATAAGATGGCTCTTGCTCGTTCCGTAAGTATATTAATCAAAGTACTGAAAGTACTGTTAGACGGAGGCTTCATGTATGAGAGAACACAAAAGAAATACATTGCTGTAAAGAATATTATGAGGAATAATGTGTAGTTTTTTTTCAATATTTTTTTAAAAGGAATACTCCAATATTCATGAGGTTGTTGCGATATTTTAATTTCATCTTTGTAATGTAAATTTCACCTTGATTAAAGTTCACTGTTATTTAGATCAAATACTTTCAATATTAAACCCTTCAACGTAAGAAACAGTAATTGACTAGGCCTGGCTGACATTAAACTTAGACGGGCTCACTTTTTATCTCAGTCTCACTTAAGGAATATATTAAAAAAAAAAAAAGTGGGAAAAGTGAGACTGAGATCAAAAGTGAGCTTGTCTAAGTTTATGCCCCCAGGCCCGGTTTGATGAATGAAGGTCTAGTCTGTTCTAGTCATGAGCCCACTGGCGGATTTAGAAGGGGCCCCAGGCCCCCTCCCTTTTGAGTCCAAAAAGTACACAATGTTTGATAAATGAATGTTTTTAATTGTGGCTGTGGGCCCCTCCCCTGACCTCAAACTGGTCCCTCCCTTTTTCAAAATTTCTGGATTCAGCACTGGGCCTCAGCCAGTCAGGAGTTTCCATATTTCAAGATATCTTATTTATAGGTCACAGAGACCTACTGTTAACATAATTATGACATGTAACAGCTACCAAAATCAAAATTTCTCGGCCTTATTGTAATAATGTTATGATATGAGCCAACATGGAAAAAGAAGCAGCCAGATAATTGGATATGAACAACACGATATACTACATTTTGTCTTAAACCTTTGTGATACAAAATGGGGTGACCTAGCTTGAAAGCAACACAGAATTTTTTTTAAGTAATACAACTTCATTAACATGCAATAAATGTTCGTGCCAGAACACAATTTTTTGAGTGGAATAAAATATTATGTTTTCTTACTTTATGTAAACAGAACAAAAAAATTCATAAGACTTGCTATTTCACAAGTTTTTGTTTTTGGAGAACTAGAGTATTGCTTACAATAACAAAGATATATCTTGACAAATTTGACAACCAATATTTCTGGAAATATTAAATGTATTATTGTATCATATGACAGATTTAACCCAAAAAAATGTCTTTCTTTACTCGTATACCAGTGGAAATGGTTGTCCTTTTCAGTTTATCTGTTTAAAACAATCATTAACAATGAGACATGATTACAAATTATGTAGTGAAAAAGTTATAATTATATAACTATGATTTCTGCTTTTCAGTAACTCTGTTAAAACAATCACTTTACCAATGATGTAGGGTAAAAAGATTGACGCGAATGTGACCGTGTGAAATGAGCCGATTTTGAGTCACAATTATATTCTTTGATAGTGCTAAGTTAAATATAATTAAAGACCGTGACCGCAAGACATTTGATGCCACCTTTGCCTGAGTGAACTTGTTAATTATTTTTCAATTAATTTAATTATGTCAATTATGTCCATCTGTTTAGAGTAACTCTTCCTTTTAATTGTTTATTTCATCATTGTTATAAATTGGCTGTTTCATACATGATCGTCAGTTGGAAACTGGACCTTGCATTGTCCACGCCGACACACAGATCGAGTAGAAACAC